AGTATGCATGCAAATAAGCCTAACCAATGGACACAGCCACCAGAGGGGTGAGGGCATGAGTGGCGGGGGGGAGGGGGGCTATGGGGAAAAGAACACATATGTAATACCTTAATTAATAAAGAAAAATTTTTTTTAAAAAAAGTAGACAGACCTTCCTCTGGAATGGGCCCCGGAAGGGAGCCTCTGTGGAAGAGTAAATGGGAGGGCTGTTTTGCAGCGGCCCCATGTCCCATTAACTGTTCTAATGCTCCCGTGCTCCATATCTTTTTTTATTTCATTTTCCAGTTCCTAACCCAGTATTTGCTTTGTGGCTTGTCCTGCACCTCTTGCATCGTGTCTTTTTCCACTTCTCCTGACACTAGACCCTGTGTTTTGCTGGCAACATTGCTGAATCTTTGGGTGGAACATTCCCTGTAGAAAATAAGGAAGACTTGCCTATAAATAGTTTCCTTTAGGCTGCGTGGTACACAATGCTTCAAGTGTGACAAAAAGGGAAGTGAGATGTTCCCCCTCATCGCCACCCCCAACCCACCGCCCCCACCCTGAGTCTGCTCCCCAACCCTTGGCGGCTTGCTGAGATCCTGCCCATGGGTTCTGCGGTCCAGACTGTCCAGTCTCCATCCCACTGTCCTCTGGGAACCAGAAGTAGGAAGGGCTCTTGTCCTAGAGAGTCTGGCTTTTGAAGTGGAACAGAGACACTTCTGGGAATACTGAGACACTTCTTCCAACTCAAAGGGGACAAGTTGGCGTGCAGGGCCTCCTGAAATGGAGGAAGTCCTCTCTGTCCTCATTATGCCAACTTCCATCTAGAAGGCTGTCTCTGAGAGAGGGAGGGTCAGCTGTATCTGTTTACTTGCAGAATCTCATGGCTGTAGGGCTATAACTGAGAGCCAGCAGAGGACCTGGCTCATAAGCTGAGTGCTCTTGCTGTGCTGGTTCTGGGTCCAGCCTACCTCGTAAACGTAGGGTGGGAGAAAGGGATTTTAGAAACTTTTTACATAAAGTTGTTGGGCTGTTGAATTCATAATCCACTATTTCCTGCCTGGGGCCTACCTCAAAGCCCACAGGACACAAGGACTGCTGAGAGCCTCATGGATCAGCACTTGACTCAGAAAAGTTAGATCAGATAATAGATATCTTTCTTATACAGGGCAAGCTTCCACTTACTGCAAAGTCTGATACAGCTATCCTGGGCAGAGGAATTTTCTGGTGTGCTGAGGGGTCAGCAGAAAACCTTTTGGGTTCTTCCTACTTCTCATCCATCCCCCTGCCTTCCCTTGTTTGAAATCTTTCTACAGGGACACTTGTGTCTATGTCTTCCCTTAGCAAGCCCTGGGATCCTGGATACAGCCACTGTTTGATAAGGGAGGATTACAAGGAGCCATCTCACTTGGCTGGTGGCTGGCAAACCAAAGGTGTAGAGGGGATGTGAGATTGGCTGAGTGTGGGCTGAACCTGGGACATCCTTTCAAAGTTGATTTTTAAACTAAGTCCCTGACAATAGCTTGTTTTAGGAATAGAAATAAAGGGAGTTAATTAGGGTGCCAGTTTATGGGGCCCTGGGAACTGGAAGTTAGACTGAATTGTGAAGATTACTCTGAGACACCACACCTTATTTGGGATATTGTATACCCCAGGACTGCATATTCCATTCTGCAAGCCACCTGGTTGGATTAATGTTTTCAATTCCATAGACAGAGAGAGCTTTCTTTGATGGCTGTGTGACTGCCTTTCAAAATTATGTGGATAAGCACAGCCCTCGTATTAAAAAAAAAATTGGACACTTTTGATATTCTTCCTGTCCCCTGATACTGCTCTCTCCTGCCACGAGTGTCAGAAAAGCCGGCTGTGCTCACAGAGCTCAAAGTCAGCCTCTGGAACTCTCTCTAATACTGCTGCTGGAGTCCCAGGAGCACTTCTCCTGCCCCTCACCCTTTCTTACATCTCACCACTTTCCTTGCACCTCCAAACCAACCCCCAGCTACCTGGCATTACTCATTCAACAAACCTATCCCTGCCCCATAAGACAAGTAAGTGTAGTAGGAACAAGGTCTGTAGGTCAGGGCTCTGAAATTTACTAGCTGTGCCATCTTGGGCAAGGAAGGTTCTCAGACCCTCATCGCCATAGTTTCTTTTAATTGTAAAATGGTGACAGTGCCTACTCTGCATCCAGCACAGTGTCTGGTCCATAGACGATGATGCTCAGTTAATAGTAGCTGTTATTATCAGTGGGTCTCAAACTCAGCATATTTTTAATTGAAGTATAATTAATGTACATTTCAAATACAGCCTAGCTAGCAAACTAAATGTCTTTTCTTTTCTCTCCCCAAACTACCTGGATTTCTCTACCTCCATCTTGATGTAAGGGAGTCCCCACTAAAGGAGCTGTTATTTCTTCTGTCCTATGCCCTGTTCCTGGTGGTGTTTTTTTTTTCCTGCCAACATAGCTTATTTATCTCTCCCTTTTAATCATCTCCCTTGGAATCTTGAGGTGAGTAGCAACAGTTAGTTTAGGGAAGATTTACAAACTGATGAAAAGTCAACTCAGAGACTCTTTCCGGAGTAAGAAAGCTCTATGTAGCACAGAAGACAGACTAATATATCAGAAAATTAATTCCAATATCAATTAAGCTCCAGATTTAAGATGGTTTTTTCCCTTAGCTAATGTTCTTAATGACATATAAATATAGCCTGGACTTTGTTCTGCCTACTACACAAGGTTCTTAGTGCAAACACCATGATCAGACAGCTTGTGACCTAAATGTAACATAATATCCTGAGATTGGGATTGTCTCCCACCTAAACTGAGGTGAAGAAAAACAGCACCCCTGGCTAGTGTAGTAGGTTTGCTTGAATAATTCTGTTTCTAATCCTTTTGCAAACAGAATGGCCCTTGTACACATATTATACTACCAGTGGGGTCCAATGGGAGCCCCACGTCATAGTAAATTATATTGGCTGTTTAGTGACATAACTGCTCTGGCAGGCTGGAGAAAATAAAGGCCTTCAGACTGGGCTTCCCGGGGGGCCTTGACAAGGATGTCAGTGCCAGGCACCTGTTTAGGAGAAATATCCTGAAGCAAATAATAATTACCTTCTTTGCTGATAAGAGTCTCCCAGTATTTTTCCAACAGCAAGATTGCATTAAGGTATTTCCTTGGGCCACAGCCTGAATCACAAACTGATACATGAATATTGGCCCTAACCTCAGTCAAACTATTGTATATGTGGTGGAACCCAATGTTCTCCTTATGGCCCTGAGTTGTTGTAAATAATACTTTCAGTTGCATCACCTGTTCTTGTTGTGGCTGGGTTACTCCTTCTGGCTGCAATTCTGTGTGTGCCCACAAGGTGGCCTCGCTTAGGAAAGAGCTGTAGAAAAGGACCCCAAGCCTCTGATGTCTTTTTTTTTTTTTTTTTAAGCTTGAGCATGAAAAGGTGAAAATATAGTTTGACGGAAAGATATATACCTCTTGATAGGCAACAAACCTCATTTAGCTTGTGACTTGGAATTTGTTTGTGCCTGAAGTACCCTCTAATCCTATGTATGGCTGGACCTATCACAGGTGTTTTCCTGGGATGGTTTATACATATAGTGTTGGTTTGTAGTTTTGCTGTCTTTTTCTGTTTATAGGAAAGTAACAGAATATTGTTTTGAAAAATATGAACATGAAATCATGGATAATGTTGAATGTTGAATGCAGAATAGAGTGTGGAAACCAAAGAGAAAATGGCTGGCATCTGTGGTCATTCCAGTGCCCATTCCCCTACCATTTCCTCTCACATCCTCTGTCACCCACCTGGCTGCCAGGTGCTCCCTGTACATGTTTCCCTACTCATCTGAGCTCCTGGACACTCTCTCCTCCACACAGGCATATTGGCATGCACAGATTTGCTCAGATGTGTGCACACATCCCATGCATGTCACAGATCTGTGCACGTGTTGGTACACAGACAGGCATATCCAGAGGAGGAGCTGAGTGGGTAGGTGCTAGCATTGGCGCAAGTCAGCGAGCCCACTGGTTGGGTGAGGGGACATGAGGGTGACAAACTGTGCGAGAGAGACTGAGAAGGCAGGCAGTGGGAAGAAGGCAAGGCTCCTCGTGGTTAGGTTGGGTGCCTAGGGAGTGTGGTGTGTGATAGCATTGCAAAGCCATAGGGATATATTGGCTGACCCCTAAAGAAGGATTTTTTTAAACCAGCACCGCCCTCTACTGCACGCTATCTACTGTTATGGCATTTGTATTAATTTCTCTAAGAAATCAGTTCCAGTTTGGTTTTTACCGACCTCCAGAGCCCTCTTTGGAGACGCCAGTTGGCACAAGAAAGTGCTGAACTGTTTACAGTCCCAGCCTCAGGTTCAGGGAGCGGATGTGGTTTCACTGGGCCACAAAGCCCCGTACACAACTCATTTGCATGACTCCTGACGCCATGTGACGCAGCCGGCTCCTCCTATATAAAGAAGCAGGAGCCGAAATATCTCTGAGTCTGGGTTGGACTAGCGGCCGTGGAGTTTGTGACACACTAGGTGACACCCCTCGAGCCACTTCCCTTCAAGTCCGGAGCGCTTGCCTGACTTTAGGTCCTCTCGGCAGCGTTTGCCCCC